AAGGCATTCGCGTTTACAGTAAGCTGTGTTTACATTTCGCTAAAATTTTCCGAATAAAACTGACACCTTAAAGGTTTTACCTTTAATGTTTGTATTTGATCTTTATTCAGTTTTAAAGTCAACATGCCACGACTGAGTGAAATTTAGCTCTACAAGCCTCAAGGTCAAAGGTCAGCTTCAACTCTGCATTTTAAATCGAAATATGGAAGCATGCAGGAGACATTGATCTGTTCCTGATGAACGGCTGGAGTCAGGCTGGATGCTATCTTCTGATGCAGCTTCACATGTATTAACAAAAACTAATTTCCCTCGAAAGGGACAATAAAGTATCATCATAATTTCCATCACATTAAATTATTAATGTTGTTACACTCAAACACCCACCAGCGTACTGAGTTCAAAAGAAAGGTTTAAAGGTACTGAATATCTCACTGCACTTTACATTACTACAACTACACTATAGTGCTATTAAAGGGGTCATGACCTGCCTTTTTTATTATTTTGTACTGTTCTCTTCCATTATTGACAAACTATTTTCCTGTTTGCCACTGTAAAGCTGCTTTGACACAATCTGCATTGTATTAAACACTACATGCGTTAATCGGTGGGCGGAGCTAAACAGGCAGTGGTGTAGAATCGGTGGACGGAGCTAAACAGGCAGTGGTGTAGAATCGGTGGGCGGAGCTAAACAGGCAGTGGTGTAGAATCGGTGGGCGGAGCTAAACAGGCAATGGTGTAGAATCGGTGGGCGGAGCTAAACAGGCAGTGGTGTAGAATCGGTGGACGGAGCTAAACAGGCAGTGGTGTAGAATCGGTGGGCGGAGCTAAACAGGCAGTGGTGTAGAATCGGTGGGCGGAGCTAAACAGGCAGTGGTGTAGAATCGGTGGGCGGAGCTAAACAGGCAGTGGTGTAGAATCGGTGGGCGGAGCTAAACAGGCAGTGGTGTAGAATCGGTGGGCGGAGCTAAACAGGCAGTGGTGTAGAATCGGTGGGCGGAGCTAAACAGGCAGTGGTGTAGAATCGGTGGGCGGAGCTAAACAGGCAGTGGTGTAGAATCGGTGGGCGGAGCTAAACAGGCAGTGGTGTAGAATCGGTGGGCGGAGCTAAACAGGCAGTGGTGTAGAATCGGTGGGCGGAGCTAAACAGGCAGTGGTGTAGAATCGGTGGGCGGAGCTAAACAGGCAGTGGTGTAGAATCGGTGGGCGGAGCTAAACAGGCAGTGGTGTAGAATCGGTGGGCGGAGCTAAACAGGCAGTGGTGTAGAATCGGTGGGCGGAGCTAAACAGGCAGTGGTGTAGAATCGGTGGGCGGAGCTAAACAGGCAGTGGTGTAGAATCGGTGGGCGGAGCTAAACAGGCAGTGGTGTAGAATCGGTGGGCGGAGCTAAACAGGCAGTGGTGTAGAATCGGTGGGCGGAGCTAAACAGGCAGTGGTGTAGAATCGGTGGGCGGAGCTAAACAGGCAGTGGTGTAGAATCGGTGGGCGGAGCTAAACAGGCAGTGGTGTAGAATCGGTGGGCGGAGCTAAACAGGCAGTGGTGTAGAATCGGTGGGCGGAGCTAAACAGGCAGTGGTGTAGAATCGGTGGGCGGAGCTAAACAGGCAGTGGTGTAGAATCGGTGGGCGGAGCTAAACAGGCAGTGGTGTAGAATCGGTGGGCGGAGCTAAACAGGCAGTGGTGTAGAAGCAGGCATTGATCTTCTTCTGTGGAGGCGGGGTTAATCTACACTATTACCGTACATCCTAAAGTGGCGCATTGCACAACCTGTCCTTTTAGCAGACTGGCTTCAATATAAGCTGTTTTTAGACTAATGAGAAAGTCGAGTTCTTAAACTTACAGGATGTTTTTATAGTACAACGACCTCTTGTATGTCAAAAGATCAAGGGAATTTTGATTTCTCAGTTCATGACTCCTTTAAAGCTGTTTTCTGTTCAAATGTTTTAAATGTTATGTATTGTGAAAGGCTGAACACAAATAAAACAGACTTGTCATTCTCAGGATGTGTTTGCAGGAGAATCACTGCTCAACAAACAGAACCAGAGACGCTTCTGCAGCCTGAAGCCTCTGATCAACCTTTTTCGGTTTCAATGAGAACTTGATTTCTCTAGAAACGCATCTTCACACTGAAGCTCAAAAACCAAAATACTGATCTGAAGAACTGATTATGAACTGTAAGATTATTCATTGATAATGAAACATATAACCAACACCAGGACCCAAAACACCTCTTGATAGGTTTGATGAACATAAAAGGGTGCAAGGAACCACAGAAGCAGCAGCAGTCCTGAACTTCATGAGCTGCTGATTCACGACAAACCAAACCATCACACACTCAAATTCAGAAGTTCTACAACTCTAACGAGAACCAAGCACTGAAGTGTGAAGTGTATCCTGGATTTCTGCACTATTTTCTGACAGTCAAGCACAAATTGTCACCGGAGTCTCACCTGGACGTTAGTTTCATTATTGTGGTTTCATTTTTTTATTGCAGTTCTGCTTTACAATAAAAAATAGCTTTTTCATTAAAACAAAAAGGGCAGTACAACAAATACTACAATGATGTAGAAATACTTTACAATTTAAATAACTCCTTTTGACATTACAGATGAGAATTTAAAGAGGAATTTGAAGAGGTAATTCATCATGAAAATAATGTCACAATGCTAAAAATCATAATGTTCCTAAATACAAAATATAATCTCATTTTTCTTTTAATTTGGGAGCCGAGCGCTGAAGAAGAGCGCTCTCGCCTGCGTCTGCTCGTGGATTCAGAGGAAGATGATCACATCAGAAGTGCTGGTGGGACGCTGTAGGATCTAGCGCTTCAGCTTCATGATGGAGTAAATCACTGTGAGCCGCAGCAGCGTCCGTCTGAGCCGCAGAACAGCAAACGCTAGAAACACAGAGAAGGCACTTTAGAAATAATAATTATTATTATTATTGTCAACATGCCCATCATTTTGATGACATTCAGTACATCTCGGTGTTCATGTATTTGATCTGAAATGATTTAGATAGGAGGGTTTGTTAAATCAGAGGAGCATCACTTCAGCTCAAAACAAATCTGACAGTAAAACAGTATAAATCTAGATGAAACTAGATGAGTAAACTTTAAGTTGGCTCGAAAAAGCCTAGCCAGAAAGTTTGAAGTAGTTTTAAAAGATTGCAGTCTGAAAGTTTTCAGTTTGAAATAGTTTGAAAGTTAAAATAGTTTTACAGATTAAAGTTTGAATGTTTTCAAGGCAATACAGTCTATCAGAAAAATAGATATAAAACATATTGGTAGGGTACCTGTGGGTGTTGCTAGGCTGTTTCTTGCATGACTGGCATGTTGCTAACATGTTTTTAGCATGATTAGCATGTTACTAGCATGTTGCTAGCATGATTAGCATGTTGCTAGCACAATTAGCATGTTACTAACATGTTGATAGCATGATTAGCATGTTACTAGCATGTTTCTATCATGGTTAACATGTTGTTAGCATGATTAGCAAGTTACTAGCATCATTAGCATGTTACTAGCATGTTGTTAACATACTTAGCTAGTTACTAACATGCTTCTAACATGATTAGCATTTTACTAGCATGGTTTTAACATTTTGTTAGCATGAGTAGCAAGTTACTAGCATTTTTCTAGCATGTTGTTAACATGATTAGCAAGTTACTAGCTAACATATTTTTAGCATGATTCGCATGTTACTAGCATGTTGCTAGCATGATTAGCATGTTGCTAGCACAATTAGCATTTGTTACTAGATTTTTCCTAGCATGATTAGCATGTTATTAACATGTTTCTAACATAGTTAACATGTTAGCATGATTAGCGTGTTACTAGCATGATTAGCATGTTTCTAACATGGTTAACATGTTGTTAACATGATTAGCAAGTTACTAGCATGATTCTAGCATGATTAGCATTTTACTAGCATGGTGTTAGCATTTTGTTAGCATTAGTAACAAGCTACTAGCATGTTTTCTAACATGATTAGCATGTTACTAGCATGTTAACATGATTAGCATGTTACTAGCATGGTGTTACCATTTTGTTAGCATGACTAGCAAGTTACTAGCAGTTAAAACTAGCTAAAACCAGCTGATCTTGCATGTTGCTAGCATGTTTCTAGCATGATTAGCATGTTACTAGCATGTTTGCTAGCTTGTTTCTAACATCATTAGCATGTTACTAACATGTTGTTAACATGATTAGCAAGTTATTATAATGGTGTTAGCATGAGTATCAAGTTACTAGCATGTTTCTAGCATGATTAGCATGTTACTAGCATGTTTTTAACATGATTAGCAAGATACTAGCATGTTGTTAGCATGATTAGCAAGTTACTAGCACGTTGTTTGCATGTTTCTATGCTAATACAGTTAAAACCTGCTAAAACCAGTTGATTCAGAAAAAAACCCAGCTAAAACCAGCTTAGGCTGGTTGCCTAGTCGTAGCTGGTTTAAGTTGAAAATATCTGGGTTAAACTTGGTTGGTCTTTTAGCAGGTCTCACAGCTTGACCAGCTAAGACCAGCCTGACCAGCTAAAAAGGTGCCAAAACCACTTTAAGACCAGCCTGGAAGCAGCCAACCAGCTAGATAGATAGACCACAAATCGGATCAGTTAGAAAAGATATAGCAACCCGAGTCAGACCAGTCTATAGGTCTGACCCGAGTTTGGTGGTTGTAGCTTGAAAGCTCTTGGAGGAGATAGTGTTTACATTTTGGTTCAGAAGAATAATAATAATACGTTTAAATAGTAGATCAGTAAGTTGCCTCAAGCCAACTTAATGATCCTGTTTCTTACCGTCCCAGGCGTCAAACATGTCGGTGATGAAGTAGTCGATGAAGGAGATCTGGGATTTGGGAATGCTGCAGGTGTTGCGATCAAACACGGGCATCACCACCGGCAGACCCTGCTGCTTCTCTTCATCCGTCTGTGAATCAGAGACACGGCTGAACTCTTCAGTGACTGCTGCTGTGTTCACACTGAGCTGATGACAGTTCCTCTCACACTAACCTGCAGCTACTTACATTTTCAGGATTTGTCAGATATTAGATAGTTTTCCTCAGGGTGAGTGTTGGCTGATTTCAGCTCTTACAATCCTTATTGAGACTCAAACCCAAAGCTCTACACTGATGGTTCTAGAGGATGTGCCTGACTCTCACATGAACTCATCTACACGCTCTCTCTCTCTCTCTCATACACACACACTCACAAACACAAACACACACACGCACGCACACACACACACACACACACACACACACTCACTCTCACACACATACACACCTGTGCGAAATACTCCTACACACTCACACACACACTCTCTCACAGACACACACACTCACACACTCTCTCACAGACACACACACACATACACACTCACACACACTCTCTCACAGACACACACACACACACACACTCTCTCACACACACAGACACACGGAGTCCTCATCACCATTGTCCTACAAACACACACACACACACAAACACCACAGAATGAATACTGACATCCTCATTAATAAACCAACACTCTCTGGGTCATTAAAGAGCATTTACCTGCACACGGCATCTTACACCACACACACAAAACTCTGTCTGTGTGTGTGTGAGTCTGAGGCCCTGTCTCAAATGGAACACTTCATGTGCACTTGTGGTTTTACGGACTTACAATGGCGTGTCTGTTAAGTCTACGAGACCGTAGGGTGTCCCATTTGTCATTTTAGCGTTCAGAAGGGTGCTCGTGAGGGCCC